AACCGTAACGACCTAGTCCTGTTCAACATGTACCGAACCGACGGACCAACCGGGCTGACATGACATTAAACCCCCCCCCCCCCCCCCCAACCCCAACCCCTTAACGGGTGATCTATCCATAATAACGCCCAGTCAAGTTGGGGGGGGGATACCTTGGCGACCAAAGCTGAGATGATTGACCGCAATCTCGGCGGGGCCGGCCGGCCGGCCTACGGATGAATTATCTTGATAATCTTGTAAGCGCTCACCATCAGATCATAAACTTGCACTGCGTGGTTGTTTGATCAACCCCGCCCGCAGTTGAAAAATGACCGTTCCTCCGACAGGACGTATGTAGACTATTCACACACTCGCAACTGATTCACTGATTATTTATTTTATTTTTTGATTTTAGGAACCCGGCGAAAAGAGAAGTGAGTGCAAAGTCATTCAAGTGACTCGTACAAAGGTTGGACAAATTGTCAGTATATTTCTGAACCCTCACGAAAAGAGAAGTGAGTGTAAAGTCATTCCAGCCAGACCCGTCTCTGTGGACATATTGACATATACAAACCCTTCCCCTTCCCCTTTCCCTTTTTACCTTTACGATTGAATTTGACAACCAGGCTCGTTTTGGCAAGAGCGCTACATATGTGGCCGTACGGTTCGGAAAATGACACGTAACCATCGTTCTCAATCCCTCTCCCTCTCATCGCCAACTCAAGGTACTTGTGTCACATCTCAGGCTGCTTTGAAAGAAGCTACCCGACGAGGCGATTATTATCTAGGTAGATATAAAGCTGTCAAGGAAGAATTGTTATTGGTTAAATCAAAATTGAAAGCGGTGGGTTTGACCTTTGATCTCTCTCTCTCAATACCTTTCTCTTCTTTTTTCCTCCTTGATCGGTCTCCTGAACCATCATCATCATCATCATCGTCGTCGTCGTCGTCGTCGCATGTGTGTTTTGTCTTCTATTTCTAATGTTTTTTTAGTACCAAATAGAAAACCTCACCATCTCATCTAGACAAAGTTCCAGTTCGACATACTCGGTTGTCTCGACAGCAAGCGCCACCATCGACGGCCATGATAAACCTCGACCTCGCCCCATTCCGATCGATCCTAGTCGACAATTCTGGACGGGTATGGGGGAAGCGGTGAAAGAGAGTGCAATGTTCAAAAGGATCAGGAAAGAGTTGGGTGAGGGTGAGGATATATAAACCGAGTGGTTTGTACAGAGAGCAAGAGATATGTATGTACATATGACATGTCATTATTGAACGTTACTCGATCCCTCAGATTTTAGCTGAGAGGACACGTCGAAACAGTGACGTAGAAGAAAGAGAGAGGAATCAGTAAGAGACAGTTGACATGGTTAAGAGACAGTTGACATAAGAGACAGGCGATAGAGACAGTTGACATAGCTGTCAGAACTGATAAGGCTTTCTCAACACCGGACGCTCATTCAAGGGCTTTCGTTGAAGTTTATGCATGGAATCTGTCATTGAAAAGATCGACGGATCGGATCCCAAAGCAAACTACGATGGCCCAAGTGTTAACGAGAATCATCTTGGGCATCGGACGGATGGTCCCACCGATCCAAAACATTTCGACATTCTTCAATCCTCTCGTCTCTTTTTCCGGATCGATGGACGATTTGACGGATTTGCTTGATAGTCTATCTTGATCAGGTGGTTGGTTCCTTTCTTTCTGTCAAGTAGGGGCGAGAGAATGTAATGACAGATGAAATCAAACAAGGTGTGTGGTGTGAGTGACGAGGAAGAGTGATGAAAATCAAGTCAATGTGTGGGATTTTATCGGGAACAAGTGGTGGTGGTGGTTGTGGTTTGACAAGTCAAGCAGACAGACGTATTTATGAAAAGAAAAGAAAAAAGATCTCACTGATTCCAACCGTTGCCTGTACGCCTTGTCCTTTGCACGTCTGATCCGATCCACTATCTGCCTTCTTCTCTGCTCTGGTTCAGGTAATTGTCTTCTTCCAGGTCTCCTTTTCGTCACGGTCACGGTCTCAGTGTCAGGGTTAGATACGACGGATGCTGATGATCTTTCGGTTCCATTCGGGCTCTCAGAGATTTCAGTCAGAGAGGAAGTCGGCGTCTGCGTGAGCGGATCTGTGAGGTCGGGTGAGTCATGGTAGATGACACCAGGGGCGTCGGCACCGATCTCGTTCCGGTGTACATCTTCCACTCGGGGTTGAAAGTCGAGCATAGATCCAAGGAGGTTGTAGACATTATGATGATCATCAGGGGGAGCGAGTAACGACTCATCAACCTGGGTTTGAACGTCGAGAATAGATCCAAGAGGATTATCATGATCATTTGTGTTTTCTCGGAAGAAATCCGTGGCAAAGGTGAAAGATGAATGATCGAGTTCGAAGCTTGGTCCTTGTGGAACATGAAGATGCTCGCAAGAAGAGTCGGTGTTGTTTCTACCTTGATGAGGAGGGGTGTGATCTTGAAATGACACGTCGAACCGGTTCAGGTCCTCGTCCTGGTCCTCATCACCTGACACATGAGCCAAATCAGAACGAGTGAGTGGATGATGACTGACCTGTCAGAGCTGTTCGAGGGCGTTTGGATCTGTTCGAGACGAGAGGTAAGAGATGAGAGGAGAGCAGGACGGGGTCGTCATTCGATCTAAGAGCGAGCATGAGATCTGTGGCTGCGGGAGTACCGATGGTGGTCATGGACGCCGTGTTGGGTGTGAACGCTTGACTCTGATGGTCAGTCATCTCGTGCCAAAAGTATCAGACTAAACGTACATGTTCTCTCATAGCCTCTCTGGCCAGGTCATCCACCCGAGGGACCTTTGAGTACAAGCACCCAAGAAGGCTGAGCCAGGATGGACCTAGGTCTCGAAACTCGGTCGGAGTGCTGACGTCGACGTTGTCCTGCATTCCGGGGCAAGGGGTGGGGTGTGTGTGCTAGAGTGCTAGGTGTTGTATGTATGTATGATTGTATGATTGTTTGCCTCAACCTTACTTGGTATAAATCAAATGTCCGTTTTGGAACTTGGTAGTTAGGCGCGCGCGTGTCGAAGGTATCGGAGATAACACACGTATCGGCGATAAGGTCAATTTAGTTCCGTAGAAACTTTTCTCCGCAGTGCCTGGTAAAAGTTGTCCTGACGTGGCATTTACATACGCGGGTGCGACACCTCTCCTCTACATATCATCTTGGCAACTCGTCACCATCAATGAACCCACCACCTCGGTCCCCTCCGCCACCTCCACCACCTCCGCCGCCACCTCCCCCTCCTCCTCCTCCCACCCCCCGGCCGACGTGGGAACAGCTCCAAGCCAAGCAGAGAGAGATTGTTCGTCTCGAGCTCGAGCTGCAACGACGCGACAAGCCTTGGACCTTGCTCTCACCATCCTCGTCCCTCCCCTCGTCCTCGTCCTCGTCACCGTCACCATCCCCTTTCCCTCCTCAGTCCCGTGACCAGAGGTTGGCCTTTCTGTTGGCCCAGGAATGGCTACGTAACAAACCCCGCTGAAACTCAAGTCTCAACTCGCATTCCCTCTTATGCCGCACCTTTCTCATCTTTTCAGTACTTCCACCCTCTTGGCTCTTTCTTCTGTCCGGGTGACGGCCCGACAAGCTACGTAACATACTCGTAAGCCTTTCCTCTCATTTGCTTCGTTGACGACAGACAATACAACTAGTCATTCCATCCATCTAAACCCCCTAATCGATCCACTCACTCGTCGACTATTTCTATCCCCAATCTCCCTCGACGATCAACGACTCTACGCCCGCTTAAGCTGTCAACTGTATTGAATCAGCGACAAATGTTCAAAAGGTGAGTGACGAGTTCCTTGTACTCGAACCCCTTGACTCGCTTCTTGCTGATCTCTTCTGACATTTACGCGAATTCCTGCTCTCTCATACCGTGTTAACCGACTTAAAACGACTACACCTGCGATGCTATCCGATGGGGAGATCCTTCTGCTTTCAAGCTAGACATGGCTAACTTTTCCCCCTGTAGATTGTTCCCTTTTCTTCCTCGTCGTCTTACTCCACCACCACCACCACCACCACCACCACCCACCCACCCACCCAATGTCCGACCGCGACCCAATCGCGGCCGTCTCCCTCGTTTCTCTCTCCAGGTCAGGATCTCGTCCCTCTCTGCCCTCTTCCTCCAGGCGTACCGGCAAAGAACAACGAGAGGTGAGTTTAGCTCTAGTTGGTCACCCAACATCCAACAGCTCACCCTTAGGAATATTGTCGTTCCAGACCTGATCTCTTTCTCTTATTACCCCTCGAGCTATCCTGTCGAGCATGTATCACATCTCGTTATCAATGTTACGTCGACATACCTCCTCCTCAAACTGGCGACTCTCCCCTGCCTCCTCCCCAAACGTCCGACTCTCTCGACCCACCACCAGCCAAGAAATGTTCCAAAGCCCGAACCGGAATAGGCACAGTCAAGAGGGGAAGACCTTACGGTACCACAGCGTGTAAGCTATGCGGTGGAATGCCTTGTTCTATATCCAAGGAATATAAGGATTCACCTCAGGTTTGGTGGGGTATCGTCAGGATGTTGGTGCAACGGAGATCGGGCGGGCAACAAGATGCGGCTGGTGGTGGTGGCGGTGGTGGTGGCGGTGGTGGTGAGGGAATCGGACAACGTCATGGAGAACGAGAAGGAGAACAGTCAGGGGTGATAGAGGTTGGAGGTAAAAGGAAGAGACCGTCATCATCATCATCATCATCACCACCGACATGTCCACCATCTCCACCTGAACCATCCGCCCCGGCCACCGCTCCACCTCTTCCACACCCCTCGCCCTCGCCCTCTCACGTCGACCTCTTCCAACCCCGCTCACCCTCACCCTCACCCACTGCTTCCCTCGATCTCTGCCAAACACCCGACCCGACGTCCACCTCGTCCCCACACGAACCAACGAAATGGACATACTCGTTCCCTTCACACACCACCGACCAATATACCGTCTCCGTCTCCCCCTCCCCCTCACCCCATCCCGGCAACATCCTCACCCTCCAATTCCTCTCGCTAAACATAAGACGAGTCCCTTTTTTCATTCGAAGAGTCAGTGTGATTGACCCTAAAATTATCGCTTCCCTCGGTCTGGCCCAGTACCCTAGCGATGAAATGTCTAAAGGTAGACATAAGAAGAAGAAACGTCCGGTGGTTTCCATTCCTGAATTCATCTTTGAGTGAGTTCGCAATTCCAATTCCCCGTTTCATTGTGGAGAGTAAAGAAAAAAGGACTAAACGCTGCGTTTGTGGAAAAAACCCATCTACCCATCCCCTATTATCATCATCAAAACAGGGTATGACGTATCCAAAAAACCCATGCCATGATAATTTCCCATCCTCTCTCTCTTCTGGCGGTACTTGAACCCACACATGACCGACCCATCTCCTGCGGACCACACATGTTGTCGTACGATTGTAATTCTTTTTTGCTATCCTTTCTATTTTGGAAATTGCTATTTTTTCTCTTTTTGAAATTGCTATTCTTTCTATTTTTTTAAAAAAAAGGAAAACAAAAGAGAAGAATGCTGAATGGGTCAGAGCACGAATCCCGTGCAAGTCATGTGCTCGACAATCAAAACGATGCATCTATACAGATATCGACTGGGAGATTCATCATGATACCGATAACGAGGAACATGATGATAAAGATACCGAGGAACGACATGCATCTGGAGGAGAGTTGAAAGATTTCAAATGTCGTCATTGTTCTTTCAAAGGTTTGGAATGTAAGTATGACCTATGTCATCCTATCTTTTCCAAGATAGATCATCCTTTTCGTCCTAGGATGAGTGGGACACTCGTATCCGTTGAGCCGGTGTTGGATCGTGCTCCTACCCCTTTGAGTGTCAGTGGTCGGACGAGGGAGCTAGGTCAAGAAAGGACAAGGGGAAGGATGGAGGAGGTAGGAAAAGGAAAAGGAAGGATTGCTTTAGGCAAAGTGAGGGAGATGGAGGGTCATGGAACGTGTGGTGGTGACCTGGGAGAGGTGAGGAGGGGTTCAGGGATCGTTCCAGTGTCAATGGCAAGTCCACATCCCAACCATTTTCTACACTCACCTCAATATACCCCGTCCACACCATCCTCGTTTCCAAAGGAGTAGACACTACCTCGTTCTTTGACTTTTTGCTGACCCTCATAAAGGACTACTCCCATCTCCTAATCAACCTACGTAAACCCATCCGGGACCGACATTTCCTAGAAACTTTAAAATTCATATTCCCTCTCGTCCCAAAATGGAACTCTCTACTTCCTAATGATAGACCCTCTTCCATTTCCATTTCCCCCTTGATTCAAGACGAACCATGCCCAACTCCAACAACTTCCACATGTCTCCTCAAGACTCTCCCTCCATCTCTTTCTTCTCATTTGGATTCTTTACTAGAATGGACCATGTTAAATGAGATTTTCCCTAAAAAACGTTCATTCTCTTTATCTTCATCTATCAGACCACCTCTTATGAATCTGTTCCTTGATCTTCTCTCATCTTCCATTACGACAAGTAACGTGAGGATCATACCGTTCGTTTTGGGTCCTTCGCTCGTCCGACCTAGATCTTTGTATCCCACATCTGTATCTCCCTCTTGGACCACTCTTCAGCCCGATGTCTTTGTATCTCCCGCAGAGTCTTCCACCATTCTTCCACACGATCGATCGGCATCTCTCTTTGTGGGTATGATGGACGTCAGGGAAGAAGGTTCAATCAATCCATTTTGGACAATGTTCACCGTCACTGGATCGAAATCGCGTGTACGACTGTCCGTCCTCGACGTCAGCCAGGATGGTCGAGGACAAGAACGAGTACGTAAATCCATCCAACTGTTGAGTGACGTGGAGATGTCAGGTCTGGAAGATTGGTTAGGTTTGGGATATGATGATGATGATGATGATGATGATGATGGAAAGGGAAAGGGAAAGGTCGGGAAGATGGGATCGATAGAGAATATAGAATTGATGAATCCAGTGAGTCTGTGTTCGTTCTCTTTTTTGTCCTTTGAATATCTTTACCTACGAAGAAACTGAACTTGCGGGAAATAAAAAAACCTCTTGATTGGGAAAAACATATCATCTCGTCATTGTTACATTCATCTGTCCCTGTCGTCCCACCCACCTCCTCTACGTTGAAACACGGTCGAACAATGTCACAAGTGTCTCTTGTCTGTTTTTTCTTTTACAAATTCCCACCACCTCCCACATGAACCCAACCGTTTTGCTCTTGTACATTTCTTCTTCCCTCGTTACAAAGTCCACATGTACCCTCCGTCCAATCTCTTTCTTTTCTCTTGTACATCCAATTACTCATGAATCGTCCCGCGTTTCCTGACTGATCAGACGAAAATAAAGACCGACACTAAGACCGAAACATTTACGTTTATCCCCGGTCAAGGTGTATACGAACTATGCATGATGAACGACATTCTCACCGACCCGACAATCTTTGAATCCTTTCAATGTCTCTTGCAAGTGAAGAAATCTCGTTGTCCCGATCCCTCCATTTCACCTCGGGTGGACGGTACGGCTACGGCTACGGCTACGCATCCACTTTTCAATCCCTCTACTTGTCAAACAACCTTGACCAATCATCTCCTTTTCATCGGTCTTGACAGATGGTATCAGATGGTGGAATTACTTTGTTTTGTCCGTGATGAACCTCTTCAAGTCGTTGGCAAGTGTTTGAATCGTTTTGGATCATCTCACGTCTCTGGATGATGATTGATGATTGATTCATCTACCCGAAGAGCATATCTTCAATGCCAAAGCCCTCTGGATAGAAATTAAAACTATACGTATCTGTATCCTTTTCACAACGACCACGAGCTTTTTTGCGGTATTCAAGATAGACATTTACGTGATCGTCGACGAACGAGCAAGGACAATCCGATCATTCGGAACTCGGGAGAGCACATTGGCCAAAAAAAACGCTTCATGATTACAAGGTTGAAGGTTCGACTTTTGATCTATCATTCCAGCTGTCGGGGAGATTTGAGGAATTACCATACCAGCTTTCGGCATAGGGATGAGAAATGGCATCGATGCATGGAGATGATCAATGATCAAAAGGACAAAAACCGCTTTGATGTACGAGTAATGTTTTGTACGTGTCATCCTTCCCCCTGGTGGAAGAGTTTTTGTTGATATCTATGTTTCATTCTTCAGATCTACCCGTCCCTCCTGACCCTAATCATGGACTAGACCATCAACCTGACTTGTCAACTGGCTCGTACACCAAGTAAAATGTGTAAAACGCTTTTTCCCTCTTACTTTTCTTCCAAAATCCCGATTCCAATTTCAATTCTAATTCCGATTTCAATTCCCTATCCGATTCCCAATTCCCAATTCCCATTCCGTCGACACCTCCACAGCTGCAGTATCAGAGTCGGAGCATTTGCTTGAGAGTTGGTCTCATCCCATCCTTACCTTTCAAGCCGCAGAATGTATAACAGAATGTATATTTCGGACCAAGAGGGAAAACTAGGTTAATCGACTCGTGAGAGGCGATGGAAAGCGGGCGTTTAACTTCCGAGAACGGATGAGCAAGTTCCGAGTTCCGCAGCGACCATTGATATCAGCTACGTCGGGTGTCTTTTGGAGGATGCAACCTGTATGATTTGGGAGAACGGTGATTCTATGTCACAGGCACATATGCCATCCACCTCTACAGAGGTGATGGTGAGTGGGAAGGAAAGGTGCCAATTGAACGGCCCGAGTCGGAAGTAGAGGAACCAATCGAGTGGTTGTGGCCGGAAGTGAGGGGTTCTGGTGTGAAGAAAATGATATTACCCATCCGCGGGAAAGCACCTCAATGAGAAGCATCAATACATTCGAGAAAAATGAAATCGTCATGAGCAGATCCAAGAGAGAAGAGATCCTGAAAACGGTTGACCAAAATAAAAAAACCCTTATGGAACGTGGGAGATTATCAGATATTCCTTCTTTCCTAAGACAGGAAGAAAAGGTTTCAGGGATTGATCATGGGCAAGGCTCAAAGGTTGAAAGTTTCAAGTATGTCATCTTTCCCTTACGAACAAATTCGAAATCGTCTTATGAGAGAAAGAGGTTCACTCGGGATCGGTGAAACGATCGGATAGGGAAGCGATCAGTAAGGATGTATCTCTGTCGGTCAATGACGAAAAGGTAAAACCAAACGTTTTTCAACCTTTCCATAGGACGAGTATATCGAAACCTGTCAGTACGGAGAAAGAACGAGGGAATAACAAGTTGGATATAGAAATAAAAGTGAGAGTGAACATCTTTGACCCCAACTCATATCGCAATCCTCCCAAACCAAACATCTTCTTACCGGATCGTTCGGTACCTTCTCAACAACCCGAACGCTTTTCTTTCCGGGAAAAAGGGCAAGAACATCTTTCGAGTCACCCAAGATTCCGAAACATTCATCGCGCAAGATTCCGAAAGTTTCATCCCCCAAGATCCCAAGGGAGTCGGGGTTTCTGGAAAGATGAGCACATCTGGGATTATTCCTGAAAAGAACAGTACAGAGGAGCGGTATACCGGAGCTCGGGACATTCCTAGAATGATAGACACGGTGAAAGGAAAAGACGATGGCGTCAAGGAGAATGGACAACAAGTTGATCAAGATGACGTCGAATACCTCAGGTCCAAGTGTCCCCAACTTGAAGATCCCAATCTTTCGTCTTTGTACGGTTCTTCGAATGATTGCTCGACTTGGACTGATTTTCGACTAGACCTTGATTTCCAGTCGCACTTGACATTCGATCGACATGAATCATCCGATTCTGATTCTGAGGAATCTTTTCCTAGGTTGAATGAAAACGTATCGGTATCATCGGTCCCGATCGATAAGCTTTCACCTTGATATCACGTCACTGAAGGGCTTTCATCGCAACTCGATATCCGTCCCATGTCCACTGCCGGTATTTCATCCAAACAACTCGATGAGCATTTCATGTCCACTGACGGGTCTGCATACAAACTCGATGATCATTCTATGTCCAGTACCAAGTCGACTTTTGACTTCAGAATCTTTCAAGTCTGTGTCTAACGATGATAAATCGTCATGCTTGACCTCGCGAGGTGGTTTCGAAAAGGGAATCAACACGTCTTTGGAAAGGAGACTTGATCAGGTTGGTGGGAACGGACGTGTGACTGAGGAAATTGTTAATAGAGGTGGTTTTGGTCTTGACGATAGGTGGAAGACTCAAGGGATAAAGAGTATTTCCAGGTTGAAGGGCAGAGCGAAAGATATTCGAGACAATGTGGATGGGAAAAAAGAGACGAGAGAGATGAGGGAAAACGTGGGGAGGAAAGGAGAGATGAGCGAGATCAGGGGAAAAGTCAGGGAGGAAGAAGAGATGAGCGAGGTTGCAAATAACATTTTCGGCAGCGAGAAAGGTTCGATCATGAACCAAGATGGGAAGAGAAACCATCCCATCGAGAAAGAGGAGGTCACGGGCGAGAGGAAAATGGACAAGGTGAGAAACAAACTGGATCAAGTGACTTTTCAACATGTCAATGTCCATCGTCCAAGGGGTTTCAGTCATGTCAGTGACGATGGGTTCAATCAGGCCCAAGAGGAGGATTATCAGGATGAGAGAAAAGGTGTTACGGAGTAACAACGAATCGAGAGAACTCCATCGAGTTCGACGGATTAGGAAGGAGAACGGCGGGAGTTGGAGGCAGTGCTGCAGTAGGTAGGGACGGGTTTTCCCTTTTCGAGATTTCCCCACTGGGTTTGCTCAAAAGCGGTTTTTCACCTGTCCGAGTATGTACATAGACGCTTGCAGTAGGAACTGAGAGGAGGACACGGATACCTGTAGACAGTATATAGTACAATCAGCAAAGTACCAACTTTGCTGATTCTTCAATATCATTCTTTGGCTACATCGATTGCAGAGGAGACACGATTCATTAGCACCAGAGCCCCTAGACTTCCACGAGACATCCATCGAGTTCGACCCAACCTGCGACTTAGTCGTCGTGTTTCCAGTACCGTTACAAGTTGAAGAATCAGCCTTACGCACCTTGGGTCGAATCGGAGAGTACTGTATGCTCACCAGAGGGAAAGCGCGGAAAATGATACCAGAAAAAGAGGAGTTGGAACAAGGGCGGGTCCCAGAGGAAGAAATACCAACAAGTTCTTCGAGAAGTACCATTTCACATGATCTCACTTCTACCACCACTACCCCAGATCCGCTGAATGAATTATTGCAGCAGTTGTCACAATTGTTAGCCATTATGACGATGCAACAAAAGGAACAAAATGCATTAAGGGAAGAACTGGCTACGATGAAAGCTGACCGACAGAACCAACAGCTACTCACATCGAAAGGGGCAAGTTCGATCAAAATCGAAGAAAACAAGCCGTATTTGGAGCCAAAACTTACCAACAACGAACGAACAGGAAGAACCAGGTGTGCGGATCCACCTACCTTCAGTGGAGAACGAGGAGAATTGGACAACTTCCTTGCAGCATGCCACATGAACTTCGAATTCAAAGGGGCCGAGTACGCCACCGATCGCAGAAAGATCCTGTTCATGTACGGGTATCTTCGAGGCACCCCTCAAATGCTTCTAACCCCGGCCATAACCAATCCAAGTATATGGAATTCGACCGAATGGCTAGAGAGCTACGACAAATTCATTCAGCATTTACGAACTCAATTTGGAGATAGTAACATGGCAGGTACGGCTATGAGGAAATTGCAAGAGTTAAGACAGACTGATACGGCCGCCGAGTATTTTGCCAACTTTGAACTTTGGTCCACACACCTTGGAAAGGTACCAGATGCAATGAAAATCGCCTCAGCCATACAGGGCCTGAAGGAAGAGCTACTGAAGGTGGTAGTGGTAAATAACACCGACCCTCGAACCAAATCGGACTGGATCTATTTCAAACAGCATGTGATAGGGACTGAGGAGAACCAACGGATGGCTGAAACGATGATTGCAGCGAATCGATGGGCTGCTAGACGCAAAAATGAGATGACCTGGCTTCCCCCTCGATCGAATTCGATGCGATTGGATCCTAGTCCGCCCAACACGGCAGAACGCCACTCACAATCGACTGGTAGAGGACCCTTGCCCGGTGGAAAACCAGGGATGATGAATTACGGTCTACCAAACGACCCTCCGGTCACTTGGACAGAGGACGGAGGACGTCTCAGCGAGAACGAAATGACTTGGAGAAGGGAGAACCGATGTTGTCTCAAATGTAGGAGTCCAGAACATTACGCCAACAACTGTCCAAATGGAGGAAATACGAGGAACAACATTAGGGGATCCCCAAACCCGCATAGCTCACCAATTCCTAGTGGATCGAACTCGATCCCAACCGGATCCAAAGGGCCATTAGTTCGAGGAATGGCGGTGACCTTTGAAGAAGAGGGAAACGAATACCTGGCCTAAGTGATGTGACCACTTGCGGCCAGGATCTAACAGAATCGCACAAAATTCAACTACCAATAGATCTCAGTAATGACTCGGCTATAATATACATAAAAATAAAGACAGAAGAAGATACCCTACGATTTGGAATGTTAATTGATACCGGAGCTACCGGAAGATATGTACAGCCGGCCTGTCCATTATACCATTTATTCCCAAAGAGACAATATCAGGAACCACAAAAGATCAGGTTCCTCGATGGAACAACCGCGACGTTAGTGACCGAGTATGTAGAAGCTGAATTGGATTTAGGAGAAGGACTCAAGATTGCGACTCGATTGGATGTGATGGCATACGAAGGCCCCGAGGTACTGGTGGGATTGGATTTCTTGAAACAGTTTAGGGCAAGGATCGATTGTGGAAAGGGATTGATCGAATTCGACGGAATCGGACAAGATAACGGTTGGAAGTATCCGAGGTTGGAGGAAGGATTGATAAGGGGAACAGCATTGGAAAAAGGAGAAGATGAGATGAGCGAAGAAGAGTTACGACAAGTCATACCGACACAATGGCACCAATACCTGGAACTATTCAAGGTGGAACGAGCCAGAAAACTACCACCAAGAAGAGAATGTGATCACGAGATCGAATTGACCCCCGGAGCAGAGCTAAAACCAGGACCAATCTACCAACTGGATGAACATGGGGATGCATTCCTAAAGCAGTGGATCAACGATGGTTTGGCCAGCGGCCATCTACGAAGAAGTAAATCACCTTATGGATCTCCTGTATTCCTGGTTCCAAAAAAAGGAGTGATTCCCTATCGAGTGGTAACGGATTATCGGGCGCTTAACAAGGTAACCGTTAAGGATTCATACCCAATGCCACTCATCTCGACACTACTCGATCGACTTCAATTAGGAAGGATCTTCACTAAACTCGATTTGAAAGGGGCTTACCAGCTAGTCAGAATAAAGGAAGGAGATGAACATAAAGCTGCCTTACGAACAAGATACGGCAGTTTCGAGAGCACAGTCCTAAGGGATGGGTTGTGTAGTGCACCAGCCACCTTTCAGAACTTTCTACAAGACATGTTTCACGATCTACTTGACGAAGGGGTAGTAGTTTATATCGACGATATCACGGTATACTCCGACACGATCGAAAACCATCAGATAATCGTCCAAAAGGTGTTAGATCGACTACTTGAAAACGATTTGGTCGTCAGTCCGAGGAAATGCGAATGGAGTTCAAATGAAGTAAAGTTCCTGGGGTATGTAATAGGACACGAACGGATCGAAATGGATCAAGAAAAGGTGAAAGCTATTCTAGAATGGGGAGAACCCATGACAGTCCGGGATACTCAAGTGTTCTTGGGATTTGCGAATTTCTATCGGAGGTTTATCAAGGGGTTTTCGCATATTGTGGGACCTCTCACACGATTGACCAGGAAAGATCAAGCTTGGAACTGGACACAAGAATGCCAAAAGGCTTTCGACGATCTAAAGAAAACATTCACCACAGCACCAGTACTTCGACATTTTGATAGAACCCGACCAACTTGGATCGAAACCGATGGATCCGACTGTGCAATAGGTGCGATAGCGTCTCAAAGATCCCCTCACCCATCAATAAAGGGGACCACCGAACTTCACCCAGTTGCATATTGGTCTTGAGCTATGACACCCTGTGAACTAAACTACACGGTAGGAGAGAAGGAATTACTAGCCATTGCGGACTACTTGGTAGCCTGGAGACCCTATTTGGCAAACAGTAGTGATGTTATAAAAGTCATTACAGATCACAAGAACCTAGAATACTTCCAAAGCAAACGACAACTAAATCGAAGACAGATGAGGTGGTTGGAAATATTAGGAGATTTCAACATAGAGATCACTTATCGACCAGGTAGCAAAAATGGGGGAGCAGATGCTCTAACTAGACGAGGAGATTATCACCCGGGAAGGGGGAGTAGCAAGGACCCAGACCTAAACAAAGGTAACTGGCTACAATTGCGCCCGACACACGAACAAATCGGATCAAATTCAATGGACTCAGAACACAAAGGACCAAGACACATAGTAAGAGGAGCAATCCGGGAAGACTCATTATTCGGACTCATCAAGAACGGACTGAAAGACTCAGAAGACATAGCAAACATACGACAACTAGGACTACAGATGACACGGACACAGAGCACACAGAACACACAGGACACACAGAAGACACAGGCTAGCAGCGAGACACCAAGAGTATCATGGACACAGAGCGGATTACTCTTGTATAGAAACAGAGTAGTCATACCAGAGGGACAGGCAAGATTGGAAGTAATGAAAGCAAGACACGATTCGATACTAGTAGGTCATCCAGGAAGAGACAAAACTATCACCATGGTCAAAGAGGACTATTACTGGCCACATTTGGACGAATATATTGCGAAATACGTAAAAGGATGCGAGATCTGTAACCGACATAAGACTCATCGACATCAGCCGTATGGACATCTAGTCTCTTTACCAGTACCCACACTCCCCTGGACAGATATCTCTATGGATATGGTGGGACCCCTACCAAAATCGACCGAGTTCGACGCGATACTAGTGATAGTCGATCGACTAACCAAGATGGCTAGATTCATTCCATGTACAACTGGACTAACAGCGAACAAAGTGGCCGACATCTACATCAAGGAGATCTTTTCAAAACATGGAGTACCTCGAACAATTGTATCAGATAGGGGAACTCAGTTTACAGCTGAAATTTGGAAGGAAATATGTCAGTTCTTGGGAATAAAGAACTTATATTCGACTGCGTATCACCCTCAAACAGATGGACAGACTGAGCGAGTAAATCAACAGATGGAAATCCTGCTCGGAATGTATGTAAACTACAACATGGACAATTGGGATCAACTTCTACCAATTGCTGAGTTCGCTTATAACTGTTCGCCGCATAGTAGCCACGGTCTGTGTCCCTTTGAAGCCTGTTACGGCTATGTGCCACACTACGACATCCATTCGCACGACATTTGATCGAAGTCAAACAAGTTGGAGAAGAAATGGAGAGATATGGGAGAATTACATGTGACTGTCCAAGAACAGGTCAGGATGGCTAATGAGATTAGTGCAGAGTACTACAACAGGAGACACAAGACCATACCAGAAGAATTCAGAAAGGGAGAACAGGTACTACTGAGTACGAAGTATCTTACGACGGAACGACCCAGTCGAAAATTAGAAGCAAAATACATTGGCCCCTTCAAGATCATGAGGAAAGTTGGGAAAAATGCTTTCGAATTGGATCTACCTCCATCAATGAAAGTACACAATGTCTTCAATGCCACGCTGTTGGAACCATATCCTAAGGACATGATACCAGGTCGACAGATACAACCCCCACCACCCGTAGTAATAAATGGCCAGGAGGAATTCCATGTGGAAGCAATTGTGGATAGCAGAATTCGACGAGGGAAAGAAGAATTCAAGGTAAAATGGTTAGGATACACAGGAAATGCGGCCTATGACTGGGAACCACGAGAAAATGTAGACGAGTTGGCCGTTTTTGGTGAATTTTTGGAAAAGAGGAAGAGGGACCCCAGAAGAAAGTGAGAATTCGATCAAGATCAACAAAACTGGGTCAGAAATGAATGCATACACAGGAAATATAGCTACAAATAGAGAGATATAAACACACTAAAAGTTGGAGGTGGTAGAATTGGCTCGGGGACGACGGGCCGAAGCGGGAATACGAATGACATTGCGAGGGAGAGGAGTATGGGGAGAAGAGGAGGGACCAGCGATTGGCTGAGAGGAACTCAATCCTGTAGGATCACCAGTAGAAGTGAGATCATCCAGAGTTTCATCGACGGTAGGAGGAGCGTAGTTGGCAGAAATAAGATGGAGAGACTTGTAAAGGTCCAGATGTTGAGAGGGGAGAGGAAGGAGAAGGGAGGTAAAGAGATGGATGTAACCCGAAAGTTGGGTCAGACAGGCGGGTTGATCATGGGCAGGAAGGGATCGATAACGGACCGAGGCCGCACAAAGTTCGTGCTCCAGGACAAAGGTAACCTTGGAAGTGACCGTTCTTGCTCCCACGGCAATACCCTATACATCAACATCGACCAAGTTCGAAGGAAATAGATAGGTACCCCACGAAATTTGGACTCGGGATTGTTGGTTTTCACCGAACATTTTGAAGTACCCTTAGCAGAACATTCACCGCACACACCACCGACTGAATTGCATCAACATCGAACGAGTTGCAACAAGAACTTACGAGGGCCAATACAACCAACGCGAAAGTCTTCACCACCATCGAGACGACGTTGACAATCGGTACAGAGCTCACCCTCTAGCCGAACAACAGCACCATTTTTGTTGCGGAGGCGCCAACCTTGGGCCAAACGATCGAGCTAATGATTAGATTCGATGAAATTCGAGAGAATTCGAGGCTTACAGCATTCCTAAACCACTTTACAGTGGGCCTGATGGCGTTGGTTTCGCGGAAACGATCCAGAGCTTCGTTCTTCAACGCGAGACGAACAGAGGAGAAGGTCAGGTTGGACCAAAGGGTAGCTAACAAGTCAGAAACAAACAGAACTCGGTGGAATTCTCACCGATCTCGGAGTCTTTTCGATCCTCGAGCAACTTAACCAATTCATCATTGACGGGAACCTTGCGAGGGGCGTGAAAGATGTCACCAAGCTCCTCGGGAACCTCCACAAGCTCGTCGGAAGCCTCAGAAGGAGGACCGGTGGGTTGCTTACCGGGAGAATTTTGATTCTCGACGACGGTGCCGTGTTCGGATTCGACGGATTTGGCGGGAGATAGGTTCTCACCAGTGGCAGATGGCCCAGCACCCCCTTCGAAGTCGAAATATTGCTCGATGACCTGGTCATCAAGATGGGACGATTGTTGATCGCGAGAAGGACCGGATTGATATCGATCCTTAATGGTGTCGAGAGCCCTTCGAGAAGCGTCAACCATGGAAGTCTGGGTAGTACCAGGAATTTGGGAAGTAATTCTCATTCTTTTCGTTTGACGCATGAGAAGTTCGGGGTCGACGTCAGGTAGGATTGCCTGGGTGGAAGCTCGAGTTTGACGGGAGGAGGTGGAAGGAGACAACTAATCTCGTCAGCCAGCGAGAAATAGGAGGATATACATCGAATTCGAAAGGAATTGCTTACAGTACGCTTAGCCATGCTCACAGACAGGTCAGAATTGGAAGGATGCTCTAAGATATGAGTAAGATATGGATGGATAATGATAGATAAGTAAAAAGAACGACAGACAAGAGGTAAAGAGAGAATGAGGAGGAAAGAAGAGAGAGGGGACGGGAGGTAACTGTCACGAGACCAACTAACCAGCATTGGGACGATATAACAGTGCCCTTCAGAGGCAGCGGTCTAAACCACTGTGCTAAAAGGCCTATTAACCGGCGGTTACTGCATACCGCCGGTCGCTGGTTAAATACCCAACCCATCCTAACACTATCACTATCAAACTGTCTTGTCACTTCGTGACATTATGCCTTCCCTTTCAGCCCCATCTGGGGCCCCAACAGGGAAGGGTACGATAGGCCGAAAACTTTCTCCGAGAGGGAGGTTTTCCAAGTAGGGACTGAATTTGACCCAGCCCACCCTGGGAGTCAAACCCAGGATCCTACCCGTAACCGCCGGTTAATCTGTCACGAGACCAACTAACCAGCATTGGGACGATATAACAGTGCCCTTCAGAGGCAGCGGTCTAAACCACTGTGCTAAAAGGCCTATTAACCGGCGGTTACTGCATACCGCCGGTCGCTGGTTAAATACCCAACCCATCCTAACACTATCACTATCAAACTGTCTTGTCACTTTGTGACAGTAACTTGGTCAGTAATTCCTCGATCACATTGGAGGTCCGTGCGGGTGACGGGTTTCATGGCAACCGTCACACTAGCGCAGGTGTGACGTCAGGGCGCACCAAAGGTGTCTCAGAACAATCCATGTGAATCACTTGGATACAGGATTCAGGATCCTCGGCGAGGATCCTTGAGACAGGGGGGGAAACTTGTTACGGGGTAACAACGAATCGAGAGAACTCTATCGAGTTCGACGGATTAGGATGGAGGAAAGCGGGAGTTTGAGGCAGTGCTGCAGTAGGTAGGGACGGGTTTTCCCCTTTCGAGATTTTCCCCACTGGGTTTGCTCAAAGCGGTTTTTCACCTGTCCGAGTATGTACGTAGACGCTTGCAGCAGGAAGAAGACGAGGAGACGGATACCTGTAGACAGTATATAGTACAATCAGCAAAGTACCAACTTTGCTGATTCTTCAATATCATTCTTTGGCTACATCGATTGCAGAGGAGACACGATTCATTAGCACCAGAACCCCTAGATTTCCACGAGACATCCATCGAGTTCGACCCAACCTGCGACTTAGTCGTCGTGTTTCCAGTACCGTTACAGACAGACACTTTGACACACATTGCAGGTGAGGAGGCGATGTTGAGAGGAAGGGGTATTGAGTAGAATAGGAGGTTTCCTACGACAAAAGCAGCAGCTTTTCCAGAACTTTTCACAATTTCTCCCTGATCCAGCCTTTCGGAAGTGTGACTCGTCAAAGGTAATATCTGATGGAGCTTGACATTTGTTTTTTGGTTTAAGATAACAATGGAATGACATGCTGCAAATGCCCAAAGCAAGAAAAGCAAGAAATCATAGGAAGGTAAAATGAAATTTATTATAAACAGAAAGAAGTTACAGGATTTGCGTGGAGACGGGGACCAATCAGCTGCTAGAAATCTCTATCCACGGGTGCTAGCAAATTGATTCCGTGTTCACCTCCATAACATTTGCGAGCTGACGCCCGCAACAAGCGACGAAAGGGGAGTGAAGCGAGAGGCTGAGAGATGGAAAGCGAATAAAGAAAAAGAAAAAGGGGGCAGACGGTGAGACACGAGGCGACGGACGGGGGAATGATCAGGTCTGCGACAGACCATGGCGGAAGCGGCGGAAACAGGCGACAGCGCTGAATGAAACCCGTGAGACAAATTGCTGCATGTTATCAATGATGTATGGCACGAGGAAGCAGAGAAAATGGATGTGATCGAGGCCACGTATGTCGAGCGAGTCTGATCGTCAGTTCACGGCTCCAGGTTGGCGACGGGGTTGAGTTGCTCGTGACTCACTGTTACGATGGGACAACGCAGAAGGCGGGAGAGATCGTGACGATTTGAAAAGCGCCCCGACAGCATGAGGTCGGAACGCCGTCGGATTGGGGCCAGCCGTCGAAGAGATGGGATGGGGTGAGTAGAAGAGACGGGATGGGGCGAGCATCTGTGATGTCAGTTGCGATCATCTGACGCACACCGACACAAGATCGAGGACAAGGAATGGGGAACGGACAAAGATAGGGGGATTGGATTCCAAGATGAGCCAGACCGCTCACTTCGCTTCAAGTGCGGGGGTCGCCGCTCGCCACGTGGTTTGTCTTACGGGGAGAAATTCTGCGAATGTGCCTGGAATCAAAAAGTAAAGTGAGGGGATGAAATAAACGCAAACACACGGGCAAAACCTGCAGTTCTGCCACATTGCAGACACTTTCAGCTTCACTTCCGAACCCCCCCCCCCCCTCCCAACCCTACCATCCATCCATCCATCCTGGGTAAGCATCTCTGCAAAGAAGTTTGCTCATAGCTGATATCAATACGTCTTCTTATACTCTAACTTTGTCAGCATACATTTCCGTGGTTCTTTCATGTATGTTTTCTTACTCTGGTGTCACGGCCGTCAAATAACTTGTTTCCAATAGACCGACGGTCGACGAACCTCGGCTAACTTGGTGGTTCTACATTGTTTTGTCTCTCATCGTGAGTTGATCTATTCCGTCCATCCATCCATCCACTCCATTTCTTTCCCTCGACCAGATCATCTACCCTCTCCAAATGTCCCACCTTTATTGGTGTGGACAAGGAGCCGTGTTGCTGATTGGCCGGGGTTTATTCCTTTGGACGACGGCACACGGGTGGGTACATTGACTGACATGTCTACTCCTCAATGGCTTGTCATGTCTACCATCTCCAAATGTCCCACCTTTATTGGTGTGGACAAGGAGCCGTGTTGCTGATTGGCCGGGGTTTATTCCCTTGGATGACAGTTCACGATGGGATGACCATGTCTAGATCAATGAGCTACCCATCTATCGGCGGATTCGTTTGGCGCCGGTTTACCTAGTGGTTTATCGCGACATCACTTGCCTCGTCCAACATACTTAGGATCCAATCCTACCCAACGAGCAGCGTTTGGAACATGATTCATGACGAGCGCGACGGCGACGACGACGACGACGACGACGACGACGACGACGGCGATGAGGAAAAGGACAAAGAAGCAGCCATGACGTTGCTCGACCTGGACGCTCGCCATCACCACCCTCCCGTACCCGATCTACCTCAGCTGATCATGGACATGCGTAAGAAGAGCATCAGGTTCAGACGTGTAAGCATCTACCCACTCCACTCCACTCCGACACCCAGATCGTGATCGTAAAGGTCAAGCTGACATCTCTCAGGCTCAATGTCTATCCCACCCAACCAGGTTCCTCCCCCTGCCTATCGACTTGCAGTGCAGTTATTGCAAGCTGAAACATCCTGGCGAATGTTACGTCGACTTGATGCTTCTCTCCAGTCGCAACGTCCCCCCTCAACCACATCGTTCTCTCCCTGTCCACTCGACCGACTTGCCGCCTTCGTTCCCACCCCACGGCTCCCCCTCGGAACACCGACGAGTCGATCTGGGAAAGCCACGCGGGTCCGTCGCCTGCGTCTTCTGCTGGGGGGGGAAACGCAAGTGCAGTCACTTGGATCATGACAAGGAGGAATGGATCGAGATTGTGGGGGAGGTCTGGCGGGACAGATTGAGGGGACGAGTGGTGTGTGAGCTTGCTCCTGCGCATCCCGCTTCTGCTTCTGTTCCTCCTCTGCCTCCTGCTCCTGCTCCTCCTCCGCCTGCACCTCTTTTTCCGCCTCCTGATCCTCCTGCTCATCCTGCTCATGCTCCTCCCGCTTCTCCTCCTCCTGCTTCTCCGCCTGCTCCTCCTCCCGCACCCGCCCTCGCCTCTACATCCCCCAGCACTCGGTCTCCCACCGTACCAAGTCATGAGCATGAACATTTACCCTACCACCTGAATGCCATATCCGTTCCCAATCCTCTCGATCCTTGCCATCCCACCACGCCCGACCCGTGCTCCCCACCGCACACGGTCAACGTCAACCTCAAACGGAAACGCAAACGTTCACTTTCGTCGTCAGCCTGTCATCCCATCCCACCGACACCCCACCTGGACAAATCTGGCGACATCTTGGTGAGTCAGTCTCGTCTCGTCCCGATCGATTCTCCCCTCATTCCTGCCTCCCTTATGCTTTCACATCTTGTTTGATCTGCTCCCCCCTCCCACCCTCCCCTCAATCTGTCCGGAGAATCTCGGCTGATCTGCCTTCCCCCCTCCCACCCTCCCTTCTGGCGGCTTGGAGAGGTTGGGTAAACTTCCTTCCAACCTCCAAAAGTCTGGGGAAATTATTTTTGATCTGACTTACCTAATTCGAAGCTAATAATCACCTGGGGTCGTCCAAATCCCTTGTGATACTCAGCTCCGAAAACCGGATTGGTTCCCTCCCAAACCTGCCGAGAGGGGGTTGATTCCGCCCTTGGTGCCCCCTGTTCCAGAATAGAGGACTTGAATAAGGGCGCCCCCCCAAAGGAGTGCCTGGGTTGAACATTCCCCAGGAGTGGGAAAAAAACTAAAGTGTTGAAAATAG